TTCCTTCTATCTCAGTGGAACATATCTGCATCCCATAGCCTAGCCTTGACCTGCAGTGAGAGATCCTTTCAAAGAGGAGTCATCTGAATACCTCACCCCCTGCCCTGGCAGCACCTTGTGAGCCTGTAGGTTAAAGAATGCCACAATAACATGATGATGCCCTGTTTCAGTCATCCCAAAGTCCTTCTTTCCAGGTTCCAAGGTGGGAGAGAAGGGAAGAGCTGGCTGACAACATCCTTGTGAAAAGATGTGTTGCAGAGTGCCTCTGTCTTCAAACTTTCATAACAAGTGTTTTGAAGACTAATGGCTAGGAAAGCACTAGAATTACCCAGCAGCCAAATAAGAAGTTAGCAACGTCTCCTAGATTCTCCGGACAACCTCCTGCTGCAGTTTTACACACTATTTTGGTTCAGTGGAGCTATATGTTTCTTCTCCTCTCGAGCAAGAGACACTGGCAGGAGAAGAAAAGTGAATTCACATCACTGAAGAGCTCCATGGCAGCGCAATGAACCAGCACATGAAGTCACCATTGCTTATACTTGGGCTGAAAAGGAAGACTAAGGTACACATTTATGGAGGGGATGATGGTCAATTAGAAAACTCAGCTCGTCAATTAGTTCATCTAGTCCTCTTGGAGTTCTCTGCAGCATGGCTCTGTACTCCGTACTCCAACAGGGCTGTCTTGCTTTGTGTGGCAGAGAGCCAGCTCACAGCTGCAATCAGATCGGAGCTGGTAATGCCTCCTGGAATAGTCAGTGCAACGCAGAGCAATGGGAGCAACTCCACAAAGAGCCATCACAAGTCTGGAGGAGCTTATCACTTCGCATGCTGTGCCTAACAAAACAAGGCTACTCTGCTCTCAGGGCTGAAGCTATCTTTAAGAGTAATACAAGCAGCTTTTGCAGAGAGTTGCACCAGAGGTAAGAGGCTCCCCAGACTGCAGAGGCACAGGGAGCTGTGTAACAGTGCAGCAGTGTTCACGTGGGTTTGTGTGGATGCTGACAATCCCTGCCAGGCACAGCATTGTTCTAGATGGAGTCTGCACACCTGTGGCTAAGTTTTAACTTCAAACTGAATAATCTTCTGCGAGCAGAGCTGTCTATTCCCTTCCCAACTCCTTATGAAATAACACAGGTCTGTTGCGAGGCATCAGCTTACTTGTGAGGAAGACTATGTAGCTCCATGGGACGTTTCTGGAAAAGAAATTCCCTCCTGCAAGACACAAGAAGAACTTTTTCTAGCCTTCCCTTTATTCAAGGCCCCAGCATCATAGCCAGGAAACAAGTTGCGATGTTTCCTACCTTGCAGCATGAAGGTTTCAACAAGAATCCAAATCCCATTCACAGCCACCACAGTATCTGGAAAACAAAGTAAAAACCCATAGCAAACACACTCCTGGACCAGAGGACATCCGTTTCCTAAGCCAACAAAGAGAGTACTGCAGCAGGGTCAGTGTTTCCAATTCAACTAACAAACTGAACTCATAACTTGGGAGAGTCGTAAAACTTCTACCCTGACTTTTCCCAGGCCTTTAACAGATCTGCTTCTGATAAAGATCTGAAAAGTCAGATACCTTTATCTTCTGAAGGAAAAAAAACTAAAAATAAACAATGGTCTGAATCATGCTCAATCATTTTTACTCATAATTATCTTACACTCTGCCATGTTATGACCTGCTTATTTCAGCCTCCTCCTAGTTCTGGAACAAGATCTTGAGAACTACTAGGTTCCCAACAGTGCAGGACAAAGCCGTGTCGGCTTGGATCTATTGCTGCTCCCCAACATTCAAATCCTGAGAACGGAAGGTGCAGGACTTCTCCTTTTCACTCAGATCTGTCCTCACTCCACCCCACACCACTGTCTTTAGTTTAGCATCCTAATTTACAAAAAACAACTCCTCCAACATTCAAAAAAAACCCCAAATTACTGGGTAGGAACAGATCATTTAGAACACAGCAAGTAGCACCACAAGTAAGCACTCCTCCTCTAGAGGAGGGCAGCACAGAATCGTTCTCGCAGGCAGTACAGTTGCCAAGCAATCCCTCCAACAACAAGGATGGTTGCACCTTCTCAAGTGCCAACAGAAGAAGGTGGTTGACTGGCAAGGCAGTTCCTTACCCAGTGTCCTTCAGCTGCAAGATAAAAACCTCTAGGCTTGTGAAAGCTAACCACCAACCTACCTAAATGCAACAAGCTGACTCCTAGAGAATCAGACCCACAAGTGCATTATGAAGTAGTGAACCAGCAAGCCTCTCCAGAAGACTCGACACAGCGAGAGCTGTATCCAGGCTGCAGTAGTGGTCGGTATGAGTATGCAGTTCCCTCCCTCTCTGCCAAAACTCCAAAATCTGTACATGAGCCATGGCTCAGACCAAAGACCAGGCCCCACCACGCTAAGTCCTTGCAAGGGCTGGCAGACACAGCATACCAGACTCACGTAATCAAGGGAGCCTAGCAGGGACAGCTCGTTACTTCTACTTACACATGGTGTATTGGAACACGCGGGACTTCACAAGGATGTTGATGCCTGCATGAAGGAAAGTGTGACAAAACAAATGTTTACGCAATCCTCCATACCTCACACACAGATTCCTCTATCTTCTCCTTAGAGACATTTTTCATACCAATCCTCAGCACAGATGCTAAACAGATTACCAGATTATTAATTTTTACTTCCTGGGACCAACTTCAAATTTCCTCTAGAATTTTAGCAGCAATGAACTCACTATCCTTAACCCCCTAGATGCCTTTTTTCCCCTCTATGTACTAGCTCTGTGGTGTGGACAGAGGTAAATGTAGCTGCTGAAGCACTGCCCGTGTTTGGAACAACACATATGCCGTCAGGAGAGTTGGGTGCATCAGCAGAGGATTCCTATGGCAGCTGTGTGTTTGGATCAAGACGGTGTTAACTGTTTCCCACTAGCATACAATACTGAAAAAGAATTGCAGATAAGTTCTTGTTTCTGAATGGCTACATTCAGTCAGGAGACTTGGGACATGGGAGATAAATCACATTTGCAAAACAGATTACACTGATGGGTATTTCAGACCTCTTTCCCCTTCCCGAACAGCTGCGCTTGACCTGTATGAGCGCTGCAACTACATCTTGGGACTAGGAAGCCTAGAAGCTTTTGTGAAAGCACAAATCCCACTCCACAGTCACTGCTGTGAGTTGCTGCCTAGGATATGGAGAAACTCTACAAACAACTAGATTCAGCAATCATAAATCCCCACCTAACTTCTGTGCTGAAAAAGGAATACAGCCCTCCATGACATCAGGGTCTGGTTTGTTACAGAGCTTCTGCCAAGAAGTCTCTTATTTTAAGGAAGCCAGGGTTTGAGTCAGAGCACAGTGAATATGTACATGACAGAAGTCCTCCTTAGAGGCTCTGAATACACAGAGAGTTAGTCAGTAGGCCTTCCCTCCACTGTTTACCAGGGACATAAGAGAAGGTCCCTTCAGAGGGCCCTGTCTTTGTGAAGAAATGCTCTTCCTGTTATTTGAACACATGCTGTCATGAAAGCACAGCCTGTTACCTTTAAAAATAAGGAATGCTGTCCGTGGAAGGTCATCAAACCAGTGCTCACGATTTCGTTTTGCCTGGAAGTGGAACAGCCACGATCAGAAGCAGTTAATGCTACGTCCATACAAAAAATGTGCAGTGATGGAGACCCATCTTATCCCCATCGTCTGCTGTTTTTAGATTGCCTTTGTTTCTTACCCACCTTCTCTTTCATCACTGGCCTCCTTTTCTCTCCCTCCCACACACACTTCCCCTCTTCTCCACCCAGTAAATACTTACCTTCCATTTTAAGCCAACAACTTCATAGAAATTGTAAAAATCCTTTAGACTGCAAAACAGAAAGAAGCATCTGATCAGATTCTTGGAGTTGGTTAGATCCTTAATTGTCCTTGTCAGGCATCATCAGTAGAGAGTCCCTGGAAGTTAACTCCTTATTAGAACTGCAACCACAATTGATATAACTCAACACCGACCTCTCCCCAGTCTGGCCAAAGGTTACTGACTGACAATAGCCAGAACAGGGTGTGAATCCTACCTTCTTTCTATAACACTACAGCCCTTAGAGAAAACTCTGACTCTGCTGAACTCCAGAATTTTACCACTGAGAGGAAAGACCCAAGGCTTAGATAGCAAACTCCAAGGGATAGAGATTGTACTACTCTTCATGAAGAAGTCTTGGACTGTCCTAATTACTCGTACAGTCCTTTTCTAACGTCTTTGCACATTTTCTTTTCAAGGTAACAATGAAATTTGAAAAAGGACACTAAAGCAAAGAAACTCATAAAACATAAGTGCCTGTCTAGGTGCTCAGGGTCAGGCCTCTAACAGCTTTTACGTGTCTGAAAGTGAGGATGCTGAACTTCTCAGATGCTTACTGGTATCATTAGGTGCGTACATTTAAGAACTCAGTCTTTCTCCCTATGCCATTTTCAATAATTCTCTGTGGCTCTTGACTTCAAGGAGAAGCATCGGCACCAGTTTCATGGGAGACTTCCTCCGAGCTTGTCTGTGGCCAGAACAAAGGAAAAGGAAGAGAACGTCTCCTGCTCTAATTCCCTCTACTTCCACGCTGGCTGGAGTTAGCTGCACCCACCCACCAGAATGGTAATTCTCTGCCTCATAACACAGAGAATGACAGTCCTGAAAGCACCAGCAGAACCGGATTTTAATTAACAAAACCCTGGGGGACACAGCCAGCTGCTGGTAAAAACAAAAACTTGTTAAGCTGCGAGGCTGCACTGTGTGAAGAAATGCTCCTTGCAGGCTCTAATGCTGTTCCTCAATTTCTCGCTCCTCTGTTCTGGCAGGGGAGGTGGGAAACAGAGGCTGCCTGGTGACTGCCAGCAGAGCGCTGTATCCACAAGAGGGCATGCAGGAACTCCATCACCTCCGCAGAAAAACCTCAACTCTCAGGGTAGCACCCCTCCAAGCTCCCTGCTTCCCAGACAAATCCTTTCAACCACATAACTCTATTCCCACATCCCAGACAAGTTTCCTTCCATAAACCCAGCCATCCTCTCTGAAGTACAGCCTAGCTTCAGAGACTGAAGCAACCTCCCTGCTCTGGGTGCAGCAGTAAGACCATCCTACCTGACTAAAGGAGTATTGCTTTGATTCAGTGCTTTGAAAGTGAGATATCGCTCTCTGGCACACATCCGAGGCTTGTAAAACCGCAACAGCCCTTCAAAGTGCTTGAAGGAAATTCCAGACGGCCTCTAGAAACAAGGGAATGTTGTCATAAGCAGCGACATCAGGCAGAAGCACACAGAGGCTAGCGCATTTAATTCTCACTCTGGATTTGTTTTAAGCAGGATTTCTACGTTATTGTAAGATGCCATTGTAACTAAGCCCCAAAGGTACCCTAGGCTATTACTTTAACCTACTGAGCTTATCCCAGAGCAGAGAGATCAGAAAGCTCTCCTGGCAATCAGTCCCTTCAGCAAATGCAGAGCTGATCCCTGTTGCCCTATCATGTGAAAATTGTCCAACCAGACACCCCAAGCAACAGAGTTCAACCACTTTTCTCGGCAAATTGGTAGACAGCCTAACAGATCCCATTACTGTCACTTTTTTAAGACTATCAGCTACATGCCCTAAACACAAACTAATCTACTGGAAGTGGGTTAGTTATTTTTGGGCCTTACTTCTCTTGCTGCTCCACAAGTTAAGCAAGAAGCCAACCCTCTTCCCTAAATGCTCTGTCCCTGTAAAGAGTTGTTTGTAGGTGAATTACTTCTGTTTCTGCACCTTTACTCATGCATTACCCAGTAACTGTACTGTACTGACACACGTATAACCCACCCCTCTTCCAAGCACTGGTGCTTGAGAAGTCAGTCCTCAACTGACCCACACTGAGTCAGAAAGAAATCAATGATCACATGCACTCCAGAACAAATTTCACTTGTTTTATCAAGACATTTCCATAATCTCACATGGGGCTCAAATTCAGATTACTTTGCTTTTTTTCTCCAGAAACAGGTAAACAAGTTACACGAATGAAAAAAAAAAACCAAAAACAGTAGCCCTTGGTGAGTATGATTACAGTCAACAGACATAAATAATCTTTTCTGGAACATGCTTTTTAAACACTCCAGACCACTGGTGTTCTTAAAGCGTTGCTGACCTCCCCCAGGCTGTTCTCAGCTCCCTGCAAAGCCCTGTACCTGTTTGGTGATCAGCAAGCGGTAGGCATGCTGTATGGCTGTGCGCTTGTGCAGCAGCAAGGACTTAAACTTCCTCTTCTCGATGTCATTGAATGTATCGAACACAACAGCAAGAAGCTGCAGAGAGCAGACAGGAGAGAAAGTCATGTTTTGATCCTTTGACTCTGCAGCTACCTGAGCCAGTGCTTCTCGAACAGGCAGGAATATCTTGTCCAGAAAGGCAAGGAGAGGCATTGCCTGCAGGAGGAATTTACTAAGTGCTACACTGACCAAGGCAGAAGGGAGTCAGTGAGGCACCGCTGGCCTTAAGGGATCACCAAGAACATTGCACACACACTGGTCCATTTTTGGAAGAGGTCCAGATGTTTCTGGACTCCTAACACTTGCTATTGGTTTTAAGCTAAGGCTAAACCACCCTCCGCAACAGAAAGCAGTAGGTAAAGGTTTGTCAAAATGCCCTGATCTCTTCCTGGAAAGCAGGTTTTGAGGGCTGCTCTCTGGACTCAGCCTGCCACGGGAGCTTTGGCAAACATGTGTCAAAGCTAGACCTCCATCTAGGATAGCAGCAGTGAAATCCAAGCCCACTACAAGCATTAAATCACTCACCTTGGGTTGCAGAATTCCTCAACTCCTTTGGCAACCCTTTTTCCACTACTCACATCCTCCCCTGAGCTGGTCTTGGCCCTGCCCTAGATGCTGCAAGAAGCAGAGCCAGCATGGCAGCCACGCTCTCATACTGCAGTTATCAATACTCTTCAATCCTGCCATATTTAGTAATTCCATCCCCTTCACACTGATTTACAAAGTATTTCAGGCAAGCCCAGATAATAAAATGCCATTTTATGATAAATAATTAAGACAGAAAAGGACAATAAATTTCATGCAACTGTACGTCACCCCAAGCATGACATTAATGTGAGAGAAGTTGAAAGATACTTGTATCATTCTGTTTTCTGTAAATCACACAAATTTCAATTCCTTGTGGTTAAACTTTAAAAGACTCCTCTCTGTAGCAAAGCTGCCATTTCTAGAAGTATTCTGCCAAAGGGTCTCAGATTATTACAGGGCACTTTTGGGAATGGGGAAAACTCTGCTGGGCAACGAGCTCCAAAGTCAGGCAGAGAGAAGTCAAGTGCTTCATCAGGGGACTCACCAAGTTCATGATGAAGTACAGCTCAATGGAGAGATACACTATGAAGAAGACACAGGACCAGGGGTTGCGGGCATAAGATGGCATCATCACATCGGGGAAACTGTATCCAAAAGAGATGCAAGTTTAAGCCCCAAATAGCTCATGCTACGCTTCCTACTACAAAGGCAAGAGCGCAGGACAGGGATGTGTATGTAACCCCACACCCATAGCTCATGACACAGAAGGTTCTGCCAAGCAATGAGCAGCAAGAACATGGAGACATGACGAAAAAAATAAATATTAAAAGCACATTCCTTGCACATCCCAGAAACTAGACGGGCAAAGAGGATTTGTAACGTGGCTAAGGGTTGTGCTTTAACACTTAGCAACGACAGCAATACAGGCTTGGTGTAAGAGTGTTACAACCTAAGATTTATTCCATCCTTTGCTAATTTCCTAATCCTCAGAGCTCTCCCCGACAGCAGATCAATATTTACCCACTGTTGTTATCCCCCTTTCCTAGCAGATAGGTGAACCAAAGCAGAGGAATAGGAAGTTAGCCAACAGTTTGCTGTTGTGAAGTGACAAAGGAGCACAAATAGAAACTTTCCCTTCTTGGACCAAGGCCTAATAAAGCCATTTCCCCCCTTATTGCCCTCACAGGGATGAAGTGATCTGAGTTGCTTAGAGATAACTCTGCATCTGAGGTCACACTGTCCTAAAACAAAATGAAATACCAGTTCTTCCCATGCAGGCTGACCCAAGAAATCTCCCTCTCATGCAGAGGAAAGGGGTCACATTGGAGACAGAGTATTTCTGCAATTAAACTCTTGGCTTTGCTAGACTTCTTTGGGGACAAAGAGAAAGACTGAGCTAGAAAAGCATGAACTTACTTTGAAGTGGTCAAAAGCACAAAGAGATTCACGAGGCTGTTCTCTAAGGTATTGAAGTACTGAAAGAAAAAAAAAAAAAACCAACTCCCATGACAAAATGCAAGCAGAATTTCATAGTCACATTTCGTTCAAAAAACAACCAGCAAACCCACCCACCCACCCACTTGAATACAGGCACAATTCCCTGATGCCTTCTAGGGAAAGGGTACTTCAGCACTGGTCCTTTTTCAAGGTCCCTGAGAGATGGCATGTGAAGAGTCAAAACAATTAAAAGCTCATCTACACATTTTTGTAGTAGCTACTCCCAGCTAGCCAAGACTCAGCAGCAGCAGGAACTAGTGGCTGGGGGGACCACAGTCTGATGCAGCCAAGCCTTCACCCAGATACCTTCCTCCCCTGGGGACAGTGGCAGGTGGCTCGTTTGACTGAACTGAGACACCAAGAACAAGGAACAACTACGGGAATGTTCCCTTTGGGCCATCCTGTCTTTGAGGAAGTTCTCTGCACAGTCTTCCTTCCCAGCAGTGAGTAAACCTGGGTAACACTGCCAGGCAGCCTCTGAGCAGCTAGCGTCTGGCCTCCCAGGCCACCACACAGCAATAAGCTACATCTGCACAGTAGCATTTGATTCTTAAGCTGGTCAAAATGGGACTCAAGCTTCAGTTCAAAGAATCAGCGATACTCACCGGATCCGAGTGGTTAGGAGAAAACAAGTAAAAACCTAGAGAAGCGGCAAAGAAGGAAGAGGAAGAGAGAAGAAAGGGGGAAAGAACAAACAAAAATAAAGTCTGTTTAATGTCCAGCAGCAGAGAGCTGAGACTCTGTTCCCAAAGAGAAGGTCACACTAAGAGTCAGCCCTCTCTGACACCATGAAGAGGAGAGTATCTGGAAAGCCTTCACCATACAGGTTTGACAATACACGTTCATTGGCATTTCACCTATCCTCCAGAAAAAGAACCTTCTGAGGATAGCAGGTACACTGCAGACACATGCATTTGTGGGAGTTTAGATGGGGAAACCACAAACACACCACAGACTACCCTCTCGCAGAAGTCAAATGGACCTTTGTCTCAAAATCAAATATCCAGCTCCTAGATTTTTCGGATCTTTAATTCTGCCTTCCAGATGACTGCGGATGAAATGGCATCCTTGCAGGACTTTGAATCTGATCAACTTTACATTCATTCAGGTGGCTTGTTTTGCTTTTGGACAATAACTGGTTAAGAGTATCACTTCACCTTCCATAAATATAACTCACCCAGGATGGCAAAAATCACCATGAAGAAAAGCAAGAGGAGAAGAATATCAATAAATGGTGGGAGGGACTGGAAGATCTGTCGCAGATTTCTGAAAAAAATGAGAAAATATTAACAACTTAAAACTTGCAAGGGAAAAAAACCAACAACATACCACACTTGACTACTTTCTTCCTACTCCCACCAAGGATTACAAGTAGAAAGCTAGGTAAATTAAGATTGTTTCCAAGCTACCTATCTTTCCTTTGCAGTCAGCTCTCAGGTACTGCAAACAATACCGATGTCACTCTGTCAATGCTCCTCCTCCAGACCCAAGACTAGCTCTGTGATTCACTGTGCAGCTTACAGGCAAATCTAGGAGCCAGAAACAACACAGCCACATTCACGTGTTGTGCTCTCTGAGGTAGTTTATGAAGCTGAGGACAGTACACATAAGCACCGTGTACTGTGAGCACATCCAAAGCTACTACCTATGAAATTGCCCTACACAGGCAAGGCACCGGGTATACTTCAGTCGCAATCACAAAAAAGATCTCAGATCTGAAACGCCCGTGAGAGACACTTATTTTCCCCGAGATGCCTGCGGGATCAGAGTGCTTTTCCTTCACCTCAGCCCCAGGCAAGACAGCAGAAAACCCAGCCGGCTGACCGCTCACCTTCTGACGGCACCACAGTAACGGCAGTCCACCAGGAAGATACAGCGCAGAGCTCTCGTTATCCGGACGTGTGAGGTTTGGCGCACCAACACCACGATGGCCTCTATGAACTGTACAAACAGCACGCAAGTCTGCAAAAAAGGGGTTTAATGAGAAGCACAGCTGCAGTCTCCATTTGGGAAAGGCAAAGCTGTCACTAACCACCCATTTATTTGGACACTTTATGGGTGGGAGGTGTCTCCGAGAGCTTAGAGACCTTACATTAATCATCTGGCAGCTGGGACACATGGCTAAGTCATCCCTGCTACAGTACAGGCCAATATTAATCCAGTTCTTCGGTTCCCGAAGACACTGAAGGAGAAACACTGACAATCAGACTGAAAACTTACCTTCACCATAGTCCTTTTGTGCCTGATAAAGGTCTGGAAGCCCAGCCACCTCATCTTCATCGAGAGTTCAAAGACCACCACAATTAATGCAAACAGCTCCAGGGTTGCATGGACCTGTTACAATACAGCAAAGCTTAAACCAGCGCTGCTGACTACAAACAGCAGCACATCAGAGCCACACTCCCGCCCTTCCTTTTTCAAGAAGCACATGGGTTTGACAACAGTCTGTGCACAGCTCTGTGACATGCAGGAAAAACCAAGGCCACTCTTAAAGCTAGCACAACACTGTTTTTCAAAGTTACTATATTTGTTGCTTTGTGCTTTTATTAAAGCCTGTAGAATTTTCCTCTATTCGGCATCAGCCCAGAACTTCCTGGAAATCCATATCCCTTTTGGACTTGAAGAACATCAAAAGATGTATTGATACATTTGAAATAAAAGGGCAAGACACCAGCAACTCGAGCAAAACCCTTTTTTAAAAGTTTGAGACTGCAGTTTTATTGGGGAAATGCAGGAATAAAAGCTGCTGGGCAGAGAGAATTTACAGAGAAGGGTTTTCTCTTGAAATGGATGTTCTGGATGACCACAGACAGGGCCAAGCTCTGTAACAGCACCCAGCTTTTGTCAGTGCTGAAGGATCCTTTCTCCATCAGAAGATGCAAAAGGCACCACAAAGACTAGAGTATTTTCTTAGAGCCTCAGTTTTAGCCACAGCTCAAAACCCAAATGGAGTTACACAGCCCTGACTCATTTTGAAGAACACTTTGACCCCAAGCTTGTCACAGCTGTTCCACACCCCTGGCATGGTCCTAGGGTGCCATTAACAGCTCCAAAAGCAGATGTAGGTTCTCGCAACAGCAGCTCCTAGCATTGTGCCTGACAGTGGTACCTCATGAAGTGGTTGTGGACTGAAGACAGAACACACCAGTTTGTGTATCCTTTCTCTCAACCTGCATTTTGTGAAGGTTGGACATAAAACTTCAAGTCACTCATACACACACAGAGACACACACATTAAAAAGAGTCCTCACGACACTAGGAGGAGAGGACAGGAGAAGGTTTAGCAACCTGTCCCAAGCCGAGATCTGTTTGTGTTCTAGGAACCAGTGGTGGTGCTGGGGTAACGGCACCAACTCTGACAATGACTTTAAAACCACGCCGTCAAAACACACAGATTCTTGAGTGACCTCAAGAAAAAGCAAAAACCATACACTTCTCAAGCAGTTACAAAATTTAAGAACTGTACAAACTTGATAATATGAAATAAGTTGTCACTTTTGTTGTGGTCTATGCACGTCAGATGAAAAAAGGATGTTTTGCTGGCTGGCATATCTGCTGTCAACCAAATTTACAGAACAAGCTAGCTGTTTTTTCCTATTACTGCTACCTTCTTCCTCGCTGTTTAGCCTTCTTTTTCCTCTTACCCACACCTGCAAAACAGGCAGACTTCTTCATTTTGCCCCAAAGTACTTACAAAGATGCCAAGACGGAGCATAGGAACAGCTGGTGCCTCGCAGAGAGACAGCGACAGGAGCAGCAGTGCTGTGCTCAGCTCCATTAGGTAGAAAAGGTGATTGTGTGCAAAGAGGTAGGCAGCAAGTGCTTTGGCATTTTTGGGGTGAGTGAAGAACTTATCATTATTTTCTCCTTCCTAAGGCAGCAAAAAATAAAGAAGAAAACAGCATTAGTAAGTCTCAGTACTACAACAGAGTTTTCCACATGAGGAATGCAAACTTTTTTAAGGATTAGAGACAATTCCTAACAGACTATTCCCAGTTTACAGCCTGACATTGATCTGTTTATTGAGGAATGAACTTTACACACACGGGACATTCCCTTCTGTTCATAAGCATATTTCAGTAATTAAATTCATTAATATCCACAAGCTCCTCCTTCAGAAACCCTTGAGCCTTTTCAAAATGAGCAAGAGTGCTGAAAGAATTTATAAAGGTAGGCAAAGAAACTTTAGTCAACATCCCAACGTAAGCACAGCACTCCATTTACTTGCAACCACTTCCACATGTTTACAGACTTTGATTAAACTTCTCCAGGACAGAACATGAAAACACACAGATAAGCTCCGGGGCACCTGGCTGACAGTTGCTCCTCCTTATCTTGGCCTTGCAAAATGTCTGGGAGAAGACACTGGAGCACATGCAGTGTTTTCTGCTTCAGGAATGTGAGAAGACAGACTCCATGAAAAATTAACAAGTCTCTATGCTGATTTGTCATTCCCTCTTAACTAGAAAGCTTAATTAACATTAAAAGGTCAGATACTTCATCTTAACAGTTTGCCTACAACTGATTGTTAAACAGCTACATCATTACTATTTTTACCTCCAGGAAAAAACTTCGTTTGGGGAGAATTTAGAGGTTTTTCATGCAGAACCACCCAAAAGCTTCTTCCCTTTCTTGAGTCAATGGTTTAAGCAAGGGAGCCTTTGTCACTCACAGGAAACTTGCTGCCCCTTGGAAACTGTCATACGAGATCATTTTTCCCCAGCTGGGACAATCTGATACACAAGAAGTTGGGTTTCTTTAAAATTAACATCTTTCCAGGTCCAATTACTGTAGGGACAGTAAGCTATTACTATCAAAGCAGAAAACTGTGACTGCAAATGGATAACAAGGTCAGGAAACAGGATCTCCTTTAAGAAGTGAAGCATCCTCGAGACTAATTCAGAAGAGGGTTTCAAATGTCTCTCATTTACTCATCTCACATTCTGTTTAAGAACAAACACGCACACACTGCCGGGTCAGCGAGCCAGATTGCAAACAGGACAAAACCCAGCAGCAAGCTCCATAAAATGCAGGACCGCCCCCCCTCAAAGACAGCACTAGCTTAGATCAGCAGGGGCATTCTTATTCACGCCTGGCAAAACACACTTGCAGAATGAAAAATAGTCTCAATTCTGCCTCTTGGTAGCCAAGCAATTCAAAACATTGCTGGACAGCAAAGTCCTCTTATTCAGATAAGACACTCTCGCCTGCAGCTACTCGTTCAAATAAACAGTCTGCATGCTCTTTAAGTTATGTCTGCTTCATTTCAAGGACATTGTCATCATGACCATTGGTCAAGGCAGCAGCAAGAATAATTTGCATCTGAAGGACCAGGCCTGCTGCGTACATTACCATCAGACACTGCAGCAGCTCAATGACCCTTTGCAGAGCATCTCCAATAACCATGAGTTTAAACATAAGCCCGGGAGGGGCTGGGGCTACCGTTATATTGTCAGTGCTGCTCTAGCATATGACGAAGCCAAAGCATTACCAAGATCCAAGCCTACCCAGTTTTAATATGTCAGCAAAGCAATACTTCTCAGTCCTTTGGTATAGGAGCAGGGAGGAACAAATGGTTTCAGTCACCTTGCAGTGGCTTAAGCAGAAAGCCTAACAGGGTCCAAAGCTCCTCAAACTGCAATGCAGAGCCTCTGAAAGGGAACGAAGAGGAGGAGGAAGGCAGGACAGTAAGGGAACCAGCAACAATTTCAGACTGGCCAGCTCTGGGAGAAGCTCAGTTTTGGTGGCTAATTCATCACACCAGACTGTAGAGCAATCTTTAAAATATTATAATCTGTTGATTTACCGATGGCGTTTCCTGTAACTGGAGCATGGGTGGGGTTGGTCGGTTGGTTTGTTTCTTGTTTTTTCTTTCCAGATAGGGTACATTTCACTCCTGGGCTGATCCTAATCTCAGCATGCTTTCTTCCCATAGAAATCAAGACCTCTGCTTTCTCTTATGTCTTACATGACCTGCAGGGCTTGACTGATGCTAAACGCACATCCCAGGGCCGCCCACCAAATCTGTGGCCAATGCAGGATTAGGACCTGCAGTTCCAGAACACAAGACGTCTCCAGGAGAGCACTGACCGCTCACCCCGGAGCAACTGAAGAGATAAAATGATGATCTATAATACAGAAATCTCCATGGCAAGGTGGCAGAACTGAACACATGCTGAATCCCTCTACTACAGTCCTTGGTACTGAGAAAGATGGGAAAGGATGGGTAGCTTCTTCAGTTGCTCCCAAATGATTTGCCAGAGCCCATCTGAAGGCACTCCCAGCATCTCCCCACTCTTGGAGTGGATTGCTTTGCAAAGCACCATTTTTTAACCTCAAAACTGAAGCTGTTTGTTTCTTATCATCGAGAACTACCATAGTTTCAGAAGTCCATTTTTCACACAACACAGCAGACAGCAGGGCTCACCTGGAGGTAGATTGCTGCCTCTTGGTAGTTCATTTCCCAGTTGTGTCGGGCAGAGCTTTGCTGTGCACAGCAGTCCCCCGCAGCAGGGCTGGATGCATCATTAATAACGTCATAGCTACCTCCATCTGCATCAGTACAATAAGAGAAAAATTGATTTGCAATTAAGCGAGCTGAGATTGATCAGGAGGCAGGCAAACAAGCCAGGCACTGGGACCAGAGACAAGCATCAAGAGGTGGCAGAGTACCCAGAAAACTGGCAGCTTGTACACAGACAAATTGACCCTTCCCATATAGGAGCTTTTAAGAGACGCACTCAAACTCAGCACTTCGACACAGGAATGCTCCTAGAAGATCATCAAAAGAGACAGCATCCTATTTAATACGATAAGCAGGTCTCCTGGCTCAGGAGATCTGTGCTGTCATGTTTGTAGCATACTAACAGCAGTCATAAACTATAGACAGGCAGCTAACAGCGAGGAGTCTCCAAGGATGTCCAACCCACAGAATAACAGTGGACTTGCTAAAGGAACTGCCTTTTCACATTTAACGGTAGGACAGACCGCGGAAGAATGGAGTCCGGGACTACCACAGGCAAGGGAAAGCAGCCTAAGTACAGAAGCTGTATAGTACACTAATAGCAGCAGTACAGTATTCTTAGTAGAAAGCTTCATTTTTCAGAGCTCTACAGAGTCATTAAACAATGCATCTTTGCAGCACTCCTTTTGGTGCAGATAAGTACCAATACTCCTCTGATGAAAACAAACAGCAAGATTAATTTTCTGTTCATATCCCATAGATTGATTTTGCAACTTCTAAGAGCACGTCTTTCTCATCAGTAAAGCACTACAAAACAACGAACATTTGTAACAAATTTCCTAACTAAAAATTTCATTCAAAAAATACAATTCTATTGCAAAAAGCAACTCCCACGCAGAGCTCCTTATACGTAGTGCACTTCCCATAGGAGAGTTGTGCAGGGCACATATATAAACTCCAGAATACTTGCCATTTTTTGCATTCTACAGCCTCAGTGCTATTAAGACATGAAAAACATGCATGGAGACAGTTATTGTTCAAAAAGGGAACGTCACTTGGTTTCTTCTTCTGGGACTAGAATTTTTAATTTGCACCTTTGAGAAAGAATACTGAGCAGAAACCCCACAGAAGCAAGACCTGCTTCGGGCCACACGTGAAACCTGTGGTGGAGCTGTCTGCGCACCCAGCGCCCCAGAGTTTCAATCATTAACCCAAACCAGATGGTTGTTCTTGCTCTCAGTAGATACTTCCCTCCTCCGGTGCCTCATGTTCCCAAAGAGGGTACATGTAAAATTGATCTTGCCAGTGCAGAAGTGCCGATTTCCCCCCTTTTTATACGCGCAGCAGCAGTGATGCGGTAGCTTGTTCTCTGTGTCTTGCAAGAAGTTATCCGAGAGCGGGAAAAAATTACAATGAAGTTCTTTGCCTCTCTCATACAGCATGCTGAAGATTTGCTCCATCTCTTTGCTATAACAAAATAATCCTTTTTGAGTTACTGATTCAGTCTTTCTAGAACACTCTCAGGAGTGGGGAGAGAGTCCACGCGAAAAACTGCACCCGTCAAGAGAAACAGCCCTGCATGCTCCTGACAGAGGCAGAAACCCCTTCACCAATGCAGAGCCACAGTTGCCTTTTCCACGCCCAAATCAAACTGAGATAACATTTATCTGGGATTTGTAAAGACTTTCCAGATTGCATACTCAGATTGCTGAGAATCCTGCAGCATTTAAGCCTATTTCTCTTCCTTGCTTCCACCATACCCTTAAAATAACACTCAAAATCTGGATGAATGTTTGAATGAGGCCAATTCCTCCCCCACACCCCTTTTACACCTTGAATGAGCACAGTTCTTGAAAAAAATTAATAATAGAAATTATATTTATCCGCTGTTGTGGTTTAGCCATCCACAGATAGAACCGGATGGCAGTCTTCTGGGTTTGTTTGCCTTTTAACTAAAAGATAACAACAATATGCAAAAATCAGAAGCTTTACATTGTGAGCTCTAAAAAGTTCTAAAAGCTTCGTAAATAATATTTAATTGTCTGTGTGTTTCGAAGAGTTGCAGAAGGAGCACATCTTCATCAGAACCTGGACTCACCGCTGAAGATCTTTACTGCTCAGAAGACAAGTACTTTCCAATCCTCATTCCCATCCTAACAGATAGTTTGCTGCCAGAAAAAAAAACACACTGCAGCCCCATCCTGCCTGCCTTCCCCTCCACTGGGCACTAACCTGGGTCACAGCAGAGGCAGAGCACGAAGTGGCCTCCAGCCCCCAGCCTCAAAGACCTCAAGCATTACCATAGACAGGCGCAGAGCTGTCAAACACCCCCAAACTTTGCTGAGGTGCACAAGCGACTGGTACATCGGAGCAGAGAGTGCAACCTCTTCTTATCACATATAACCTGCTGTCTGAAGATGCCCAGAGCCCTGTGTGCCATCCATGATGTGACCCAGATGGCTCTACAGCACGTCACCCACAGCTTCTTCATTATCTGGTGGCTGGAGCAAGGCTGCAGGATGCCTTGCTCAAAGCAGCAACGACTGTGACGGTGCTCACACGAGCTGGAGTTTCAGGCCTTTCCATAACTCACCTTCAAAACACAGCAAGCCTTCAGAGAAAATCTGAGCGTGATTCATCTCACAAGGTTCAGGGGATATTGAAAAAGCACAGAATCAACACCTTGGCTTGCACTCTCTTTTGGGGAAGAGAAAATATTAAGCAGTACAGAATCAACACCTTGGCTTGCACTCTCTCTTTTGGGGAAGAGAAAATATTAAGCAGGTTGCTTATAATATTACCATGTTATTGGAGCATTACAGTATACACAAAATTTAAGAACATCAAAATGTACTGTGGTCAAATCAGCAAAGGTTTGTAGCATTAAATGAAACACCAAAATACTGTACCCTACCAAAAGATGCCAAAACGACCTTTAGCTCTGAAGTAGTCCTTTCACAAAGACCAACCTCTCTTTGAAAAGGATCAACACTAGGAAAAGTACACCACAGTAAAAACCCAGGACCTCTCCCTGCATTTCACACAGAGGACTTGCAGCTGAAACAGAAGAGATGTCCCAGTGAGATCAACGTTGCAAATACAAAACAGCACTCAAAGATGCAAATCAGAAACAAAAACTAACTGTAGAAACCAAGATGCTTTCCTCCTGCCTAAACCAGACATCATCTTTCTAGGCACAGACAACAGAAGACGTACTGGTGAAGTGTTCCAGTGTGGAGCTGCATTTTGTGGATCAGCTCCTTCCCCATCAGGTACCAGAAGGTTGATCTAGCATCCCTGAGGCAACAGCATCATCTGGGTAATAAATAATAATAAAAATAATAATAAATTTGAAAAGCAACCCTGTGACTGTTTGTTTGGCAGCCCTCCAGCTAGCTAATTTCCTCAGCTTGCTCCCATGATAACAATGACACAGACTAATGCAACCTCTGCTCCGCTCAGCTCGTGCTGCAGAACATCCCCGACGGCATTTACCATTAGTATCGAGCTCAATGAGATAGGAGGATCTCTCCACAGGACTCCCGTAATCCTCGAAGTAGATGGCAGGCGGCTCTCTCCACCGCATGGCAGTCGCCGCGTCGGGAAGCGGGCACGCTTGTGTTCAGAGTCAGGGAGAGGGAGACAAGTCAGGTCTGGAGTTCCTCCCTCCCCTCCGAAAGCCGATCCTCAGTTTTGCAGCTTCCTCAAGGGAAAGCTACGCACAAAAAGATTTTCCTCTGCTCTCTGCAGAACTCTACGTTTTCTCCCCTCCCCTCTGAGGAAGGTGGCTCAGACTTCAGTGAAATCGTTTCCCTATTGCTGTCTTAGCGGCAGGATGTTTCTAAGTGCAAGTTGTTGGAAGGCTTAGCTGCGGGACAAAGAGCTTTTAAGCACGAGCGTGGTGGTAAAGCAAGGCTTCATGTGCCGTGCTGTCTTATTTTGGCATATAGCAGAATTTGCTCACCAGTGAACATGAACAACTAATGGGAATGGAGTCAAAGTGCTTACAAGTCACAGCAAGGAGCCTTCCCCCCACCCCAGCAAAAAAAGAAAACAGATATTTGTGAAGTTCACAGTACAAGGGGCATGACAAAGTAAATGAAGTGAGCTGTTCACAGATGGCAAAGCTTCCTTCCACACTTGTGTAACTTATCCCAGACGTTCCCTGAAAAGGGGGGGGGGGGGGGGGAAGAAAAGGAAGAGGAGGGGGGGGGGGGGGGGGGAGGGAAGAAAAGAGAAAAAAAGAAAAAGCAAAACCAGCTGGCTGCTTACACAAGGCATCCGGAACGATACTGCCGGGACTCCAACATTTCCATTCAGTGCAGCAGAGCATGCTCCTGTGTAAATAGTTTCCATATGTCATCATTACAATAAAAAACAAAAAAACAGAAAAGAAAGAAAGAGAAGGAGCATAAACTTTCCAGAGCCCAAGCCTCTCCCTTTGCAAACCAAATTCCCTGCTTAGGGGAAGGAAAAACTCTCCGTTGGCTGAGAGAGCAAATAAACTCCTCTCATTCGGAGGTGCTCACACGGCCACGGGGGATCTCGAGAGCAGGGCTGAGAGGGGAATAAGGGACAGAAAACATTCACAGGAATCAGGGATAAATCACCCTTGCCAGACAGGCTATTTTATGTCAAACTGAAGTCAATTTGGACTGTCATTGTTTGATCTTTGGTGTCAGCAATTGTTTTAATAAATAATAATGATTTAAAAAAATCCAACAAACTAGTAACTTCCTACAAATTCGAAGAGTTATAAGCAAACTCTACAGGGTAGCTCTCACATTTGCCTCAGAGCTCCCCCAGTCTGGCTCTCATTAGCCTGTTCACCAGATGTTCTGCTTTCTAGATAGCACACACTTTTTATGGCGTTACACTGAAACAGACTGAGATGCCTCTAATTAGCTCCTCGCCTGCCTCCAAAGCCATGTGCCCTTACAGGACTTACCAGGGCTTTCTCCTAAAAGGTTGAGGAAGGTCTTGGTGGAGCTGCTAGTTGCCATCCTGTCCAGATAATGCTATTTTAGCCAGTATACCTGTGATGTGGAAGGCAGGGCAAGTGACATAATTCAGCAAAAATATTCTTATA